TGTAGTAATGATCCCAAACTTTCTTAATGGCATCCCATGACCACATAGAGAATGAATGCATAATGGTTTCCATGTTGGGAAAAATTTTGAATGTTTATACGGTTTAGTGGGGGGGTTAGGGTTATCAGGGTTTAGGGTTTAAGGGTTTTAGGGTTGACGGAACTATGTTTGTCTTACGGTGGACGTAGCACACACACCGGACATTGATGGAGCGTTGGTCTACAATGTATTCCCTCCGGTACCATTGATCCGTTTCGTTGACTGGCTCGGCCGACAAACTTCGTGCCACATAGAGCATGCATCCATCCACTGGACCGGATCGATGTTTGGTTGGTTTCATACAGGTGAGGAACCCAGCTAGTGCTTTCGGGGTGTTGACATGCTAGGCCGGAAATGCGCGTGTCAGAGATCGTACTTGCGTGTATAATCCCGAAAATCTTTCATGGCATCCCATGAGACCACACAGAGAATGCATGCATAATGGTTTCCATGTGGGGCAAAAATTTGAATGTTTTTATGGTTTAGTGGGAGGGGTGGTTTAGGGTTATCAGGGTTTAGGGTTTAAGGGTTTTAGGGTTGACGGAACTATGTTTGTCTTACGGTGGACGTAGCACACACACTGGACATTCGTTGAGGAGCACTAGAGGGGGGGTTTAGGGTTATCAGGGTTTAGGGTTTAAGGGTTTTAGGGTTGACGGAACTATGTTTGTCTTACGGTGGACGTAGCACACACACCGGACATTGATGGAGCGTTGGTCTACAATGGATTCCCTCCGGTACCATCGATCCGGTCCATTGACTGGCTCGGCCGACAAACTTCGTGCCACATAGAGCATGCATCCATCCACTGGACCGGATCGATGTTTGGTTGGTTTCATACAGGTGAGGAACCCAACTAGTGCTTTCGGGGTGTTGACATGCTAGGCCGGAAATGCGCGTGTTAGAGATCGTAATTGCGTGTATAATCCCGAAAATCTTTCATGGCATCCCATGAGACCACATAGAGAATGCATGCATAATGGTTTCCATGTGCGGCAAAAATTTGAATGTTTTTACGGTTTAGTGGGAGGGGGGTCAGGGTTATCAGGGTTTAGGGTTTAAGGGTTTTAGGGTTGACGGAACTATGTTTGTCTTACGGTGGACGTAGCACACACACCGGACATTGATGGAGCGTTGGTCTACAATGGATTCCCTCCGGTACCATTGATCCGGTCCGTTGACTGGCTCGGCCGACAAACTTAGTGCCACATAGAGCATGCATCCATCCACTGGACCGGATCGATGTTTGGTTGGTTTCATACAGGTGAGGAACCCAGCTAGTGCTTTCGGGGTGTTGACATGCTATGCCGGAAATGCGCGTGTCAGAGATCGTACTTGCGTGTATAATCCCAAAAATCTTTCATGGCATCCCATGACCGCATAGAGAATGCATGCATAATGGTTTCCATGTGGGGCAAAAATTTGAATGTTTTTACGGTTTAGTGGGAGGGGGGGTTTAGGGTTATCAGGGTTTAGGGTTTAAGGGTTTTAGGGTTGACGGAACTATGTTTGTCTTACGGTGGACGTAGCACACACACCGGACATTGATGGAGCGTTGGTCTACAATGGAGTCCCTCCTGTAGCATCGATCTGGTCCGTCGACTGGCTCGGCCGACAAACTTCGTGCCACATAGAGCATGCATGCATCCACTGAACCAGATGAAATGCGCGTGTCAGAGATCATACTTGCATGTACATGTACCATCCATTGCATCCACTGGCTGGGCCGACAACCTTCGTGCCACATTGTTCACATTGTCCAATTAACACTTTGTATAGATTCTTTTGGTAAAAAATGAAAGAAATAATGCAACTAATCTGAACGTAACGTTTGGCATGTATCAAACCAAGTTTCTACTATTCCTCAAAAAAAACCAGTTAGCCACTAATTGCGCCAAACATATCTCGTAATTACCAACGAAAATGGGTTCACAATTATATCTGGAAATTCTTGGACTGAATTTATTGCTCTTCCTTTTTTAGAGAACAATAAGTTAGAATGGTGGGCGGCGGGTTGGCACGGGCACGGCGATGGCTCGGGCTTGTGTGATATGTGGTTCGACCCGCAGTCAGTGCACATGTTTTGGAAGCCCCGAAAAGATCGCGCTCGTTAAAAAAAAACTTGCATCGAAGCACATTACTTCAAAATAACTGATTAACCCTACAATCATGGATATATACCTTCCCATTCTACCGCATATCTACCCTATCCTAACCACCCCCATCTACCTTGTTTCTCCTCACATAGCCATCGCCGGGATCGCGCCATCGCTTCTCAAGCGACCACACCGACGCCGGATTAAAAAGGTCTCTTCCACGGCTTCTCTCATCTTCGATTGCAGTGCTGATTATTTTTTCCATTGATTCGACCAACAAGTAATTTCCGAAGAGATTAGAAAATCCAGCTTTTGCCATAGTTGAGTAGTTCTGGTGTGATTCGAGTACAGGATGTCATGCAAGAGCTTTTTGATTGATAGTTTGTACTAGTTGATCGTACGAACTGATTATGAATATTTTTTCACGGTCGTATTGTTTCGAATTAGGCGGATGAGGGTGTGGATACAGTTTTCATACTATGGGTATATGTGTTGCTGTAGGGACCATGGTCTCAGAGGCGTATAACAACCGTGCGGAGTACGACAAGTCTTTGTATGAAGCGCGTCGGGAGATCGACTTGAAGGTGCAAAAGGATCGCGCTAAGGTAGATAAGAAACTGAAAAAAGAACGTTCATACGTGGACAGGATGATAAAGGAGGAGCGTCAGGAGTTTTCCCTTAAGATGGCGAAGATGCTTCTTGAGATTGAAGAAAAGTATAAGAGGGACTGTGAGTACATGGAAAAAAAGTTTTTCTTAGGCTACAAGGAAATGCATCAAATGTTGCAGAAGGACCGGAAGCTTGTGGACAGTATTATACAGACAGAGCGAGTCAAGATGGATGCCTATGTGTTGCAGGAACGTGCGGATATGGACAGTAAGCTGCTACAGGAGCGGTCGGACAAGGATTATAAGGCCATGCTGGAGAAGGTCCGCTTGGAAGGACATATGTTAGAAGACCGTGCGATCTCACAGCCACCCCGACAACATGTCTTCAATTATTCTCCCCCTGTAAGTATCTCGCACCGATTCTATATATTAAGGACCTACGTATTCTATGATACAAACATCTTCAATTTGTGGCAACCTTATGTCGGCGATTGTATGTAGGCTAAGCATCATGAGACGGCACAGTCGCCATTCACTCGAGACATTGCGATAGAGTCACCCGGTCAATGCCACATCAGTCCACCCCAACAACATATCGTCAATTCCCCCCTTGTAAGTACCTCGCAACGATGCATACCCAAGATATGGTATGACCTTTCAAAACTTGTGTGTAAACCCACTATCGACGTTTCATACGTAGGATAAGAAACATGTGATGGTAGAGTCCCCAGTCACACCACATGAAGGATACATTCAACATAATAAGGTGAGAAGGTTTGAGATGGCACAATCCCCAGTCACTCCACATGAAGGATACTTTCCACAAAAGCAGGTAACAACGCCGCAATGTTGCTATGCACATAAAAGTTATGTTTGGCCCTTTACTCATTGAATGTATTAACTCTGATGTGAGATACTAGGTGCTGGTCATGGAAGTTTTTGTTAGTAGGGATGATGAGATGTCACATGTCCCGAGAGCATACTTTGATGAACGCCCGGCAGAAGTCAGAATTTTTGAACCCGCCAAAGTGACCTACGATCTCATTATGAGTGAAATGAGAGATAGTTTTGGTTGCAAACTGGGAGCAGAACTGTACTACTTCTTACCCGGGTCTGCGTGCAAGCTGCCAGAAGGAATGTTCTTGATTGCAGGACCAGATGATATACAAAAAATGCTTTTTGATCTGAATGGCAGCAAGACATGTCACCTATACATTGTGTACAATAGAACTACGGGTTGTTTTCCCGAGGATGACATTGATTCCGAGGTTCAAATTTTACATGTTGCATGCATCTAGTTTATGGCTACGTCTTTTTTGAGTTCTTCCTAATACAATTCCTATGGTTTTCTACAGGAAGCACTACAAGAGGACAGACCTTTTGTAACACCGTCTTGTGTTACTACAGGTCCAAAAGTGTGTTACTGGGTCATATAGTAACACAGTTTGAAATGTGTTCCATTAGACCGTGTTACTAAGTGGTGTCAACTGTCACACATAATAATTGTTACCATATGTTAAAAAAAGTGTTACAATTACATTATAGTAACATGTGTGTTATGTGTTACTGAACACACCGGTAACACACTTTTGTAATTATAGTAACACCGATAGTAACATATTTTGATAGACGTAGAACATCGGTGGTAACATGTTTATGTAACTATCGTAACACAACTGGTAACACATTTTTTTAGCATTGGAACCCAACTAGTAACATAATATCCATGTATCGTAACACTATAATTATAGTTGTCAACTACTCTAGTAACAAATTTTGTAGCTATAGTAACACCATCAGTAACACTACTATGTCAATATGGTAACATAATTAATGTATTTGTTTTTTATTGGTAACCAGAAAATTGGATACCCATTCTATGGAATATAAATTTATTTAATAAAATAAATGCAATTGCATAAATTGTTAATCATTTTATTATTATGCTTGGCAGCATATCAAAATGATATTTAAACTGAAGCAGTACACATACAGAAATTCGTACGAAGATATTTATTACGAATATAGAAGAGTGTATGATACATATGCATTACAATAAAGATACCAATCATATAATTTTGAGGATAAAAACACAACTATGGGGAATATTACACTGTCGCATTTGCATCAATTCGATGAAAGAGAAAGATCTTCAGGATGATATTACACTTTTAAATCTATCAATTTAAACTACAACTATTGGTAGCTAAAATCTTCAGATTTTATTTGCTTCTTGATCCAAGAATTCAACAGCAAATCAACCATCCTTCTCTCGAATCTGTAGAAGAAAATTGCACCTTAGATATGTGTGATTAAATGTACACAAATATGATTTCAGAATGTGGAAGGGAAGATTGTAACTTACAAAAGCTGAAGGCCAGGCAATTAAGTATCCTGAAGTGAAAGCCTCGCCAATTATCTTGCAATCAGAAACTTCCCTTACCAACTCCTCATTATCAAGAATAGGTTCGTCTATGCGCACAAGAGCAAATTCAGCACTTAACTCAATACCACCAGCCTTAGTTCTTGGATCAGTACTCCGAATAGTACCATACGCAACATTCCGCTTGTTGGGATATGTTGAAGTCTTTAAGACTACTTTGGAAGCAGCCTATATTATGATCAATATTAGAATTCTATGACATGATAATATAACTTGCATGAATAATATGAGATCTTTTTAATGTCAACCCACTAAGGTGCCCTAAGAAACTAAATAAACTGGACCCGGCAACGAAGTCTAATGCCCAAGGTCACCTCGCAAGCTCATGCTTGGTTAAATTTATCGTTTACTTGCATATAGCAGATTGAGCAAAAATTATAATAAAATCCATTTTTCAAGCAGACATGATAATGAGGGTTTGGGTTGGTAATTTGGGTGCAGTAAACCATGCTACTTGGTGAATCTTTACCTTGATGGAAGAAGAACGCCTTATTTTTGAGCGGTGTGGGTGTTCAGTTCTAGTCCTTTGCTGGTTCGGTCTTGAAACAGATTCACCCGTAATATTCCTCATTTCCCTCACCTACCAAGATACAATAATATTAGATGGAATGATATTCATACCTTGAAGCTACAGAAAGCTACAACTTCAAAACTCAAAAGGCACGAAAATTACCTCTAGCACAGAATCAATAACAAGGTCTTGTGGTGATGATGAATTTTGTTGAATTTGTAATTGGTTGACATCATGGTCGCCAACCTAGTTCCATGACACAACAATGGTAAGCAAGCAATTATTTTATATTCTTTGTGACATGAGTAAGAGTAACTACAGGCATAACCTTTTCATGCGAACATGATAAATTATTATCCTCAGGAATGTCATGTTGCATAGACGAGCGTGCCTCAATGGGTCCATTGCACTGGATTCTCTACAAACTGAAATATTAATATGAAGGTTTCGAGTGACAAGCAATGATGTAGGCATTTATTAACATTACCTTTGTTTTACCAAGCAGTACTGGTGACCGAGAAATACCATTATCATCTGATTGGAGGTTTTCCTACAGAACTAACAAATCTGAGTAAACTATTGATAGAAATGCATGCAAAGGGTGGGATAAAGAAGTCCTTTACCTCTTCTATGCCATTATTGACATAGCCTTCTTTGTTATTCATATCTTTAATAATCTGGTCTTGCTTTTTTATATGCTCCTTCATCTTTGCTATTACCTCCCAAACGTCATGTTCAACTTCATATGGTGATCCATCAGTTGTAGTCATATTGATGTTCTTTAGATACCGTGGCGTCCGACCGTAGACTTGCTTAGGAGTTGGAAGCAAACCCATGCCATGCACTTGTCCAATCTTTTCTTTCCCTAACACTTCCTGCAGGGCATCACCTTCCCATGCGACTCTTCCATTCAAATTTTGTGCCAACTCTGGTCGTTCGGTTATTAGATTCTACAATCGATCCTATAAGAAACGAATCATGCATACACTAGTTAGATTGAACCATAACATGATCCGGAGAACAATTAGACAATTTCTATATTAATTGCCTACCAGGCGCTTATTTCTATCTTTATTTTTAGCATCAGCATCGTCCTTCTTCTTGTGAGTTGCTAAATAAACCTTTGATCTGTGTGGTCGTTTCTTTTCAGGATCAGCTTGCCTCTACAAAACAGAAACAGCACCCATATGACAAAAGAGACACAGGACAACACTTCAGGAATCAAGACTACTCACCATGTCTTCGCCCCAACAAGCATAACTCTTTGTGCCAGCATTATGTGAATCCTTCGAGGGGACGACTAATTATGTTCTTCTCAGCAAGGGCCTGTTATGATGTAATCATATCGTAAATGCAACTTTTAAGATAAGCCCGAGAACTCACATTTAAATGTCAAAACAGGAAAGTACAGTATCACATTCATTACCCTTCCTTTTTTGGACTTCCAATATTTAACAAGCCCACGCCATTGATCGTCGTCCACATCTTCTGGACAGAGCTTATACAAAGCCTTTAGCTTGATGTTTGGATTTTTTTCAATGGCGGGTTTGAAGAAAGCATCTTTCAAACTAGACTTAAATTTCCTCCAGTCTCTTCCAATTGATTTGAGTATCCATTTTTCACATGATCGAGGATACACGAACTTTGTCTGAAAGTACAAAATAATGAATGGATGTAAATAGACATGCAGACCACACTACATCTCATGTAGACAAATTAGATATAAATAGAAGGGTAGCAAATAACATATTTTGTTTTCTTGTTAATTGCGAAGTACCTGTACGCACTGCAATATTGTTTCCTCACCACTATTCTTTTTGACATGACGCCAATCATTTAGGTTTAGTGGGCAGAATCCTCCATTTCTAGCTACCGTGCCCAGAAACTTCCCCAAGATTGCACCTTCATCTCCTATAGGCTGGCTATCTTCATTGCATTTCACAACTATTCTCTGCCCCTTTGGCATGTTCCAGACAATTGGCAAGCTTGTTCTCTTGCGCTTGCGTACTTCCTTGTCTACTACAAGATTAATTAAGAAAAGTACTAATGAAATGACGCCCGCCGATTATTCTTTCGATACTAAGCATATACAAGTTAATTAATAGAAGCACAAAATGTAATAGGTTGTTACCTTGATTGTGAACTTGACCCTCTTCATCGACCAATGCTTGTGATTCATGACCTTGTGGGAATTTCTCACCATTGTTACAGTCTCCATCTTCATCATCACGTTGGTCCGTAACCTGAATCACATTCAACCTTTTTGACCTACGTGGTGGTCCTGCAGAACAACCACACATCTTTTATTCCAATAATTACAACAGTAGATACAGATATGTAATAAGCATGGTTCAAGAGGGATACTTTGCGGCCCTTGCGTAGTAAGTTGCCCTGCCCCTTCAGCAGAGACACCACCGTCCTGTAAGAGAACACTCTCATTTGGATGGTTAGATGGAGCAACATCAATTTGCTTGCTAGGCCGAGCAATATGATCGTCAGCCTTCTCCTTCGACACATACAGATGGACAGCTTTCACAATCTCAGGGTCGGACAGCATTTTCATCACAAGACCTTCAACATAAATGTGAACTAAGTAGGAGCTGCCTAGACGGGTTTTTTTCGCATAGTACAGAAAGTCAATTGCCTGAAAGCCAACTTCTTCGATCATCAAGATTAAGTCGTAATACGAGACATCACGTCTCATCATGGATCTTTGTAAAATTTTGGCTTCCTGATTTGTATCTTCATAGTGCAGGTATATGGTCAACATGTCCGTCGCCATCCTAAGTTATATATAAAAATAAATGTCAATTAAATCATTAGAAGTAAAGCCAAATTAACTAATGACATAACAGGGACAATTTAATTTGCCAATAGACATGTGAATGGAGAGGGCAGAGAAGTACACAGTAGCACGTCAATACACTATCAGCTTATCATAACTTAAAACAGAGAGATGAGGTACAAGACCATGGGTCCAGCCACACCCACACTAAGATATAACGCTCTCGACATATGGATTAAGGACAGGTTTAAGTTGAAAAGTGTACAGGGCTTGATGATGTTCACTGCTTCCATAAACAGAAGGGAAATTGAAAGTACATAGGATCATCAGATGATGGTGCAAATCTTAAGCATTTTCTCTGTTCGTAATTTCAGTCATTTTTTATCCTAATGGTTCAATTTACGCAGGCGAAACTGTTACAGTAGATCGGCTGCATCGAATTGAAGAGCAGAGTTGGGTTTGATCATGATAGTCTTAGGGCATCAAAGAAAATGACAAAGGAGCCGAATGAGCCCAGATTTGTTTCGTGTGCCCAGATTGCAAACTAGACATGTTAAAAAGCTTGGAGCGGGCGCAGCAAAGTGCGCCGTTTGCTTCTAGTTTCTCAGGAAGTCTGATCAAATTTAAACAATAGTCAATGGATCGATCTAGCAGAAGTGTAGAACACGCACGTATATCAATGGATCGACCTGATTAGTGGATTAGGCATTGGCACATCGCAAAACTATAGTCAGACACAACCTTATATGGTTTATGGGCTTTTCAACATATGTGATTGCTTAATTATTTGTCTACGTATGGGCTAATTATGCAATTAGCCACGGCCATTAGGCATCTACAGTACACACTGTGCTACGAATTGTTGAGGGAGCGAGCGATTGGCAGGGGAACCCCTGCTGGCCTCTCCCTGTCCCCGCCCCTGCATCACTACAGTGGTGTTTCACCTAGCATACCTCAGAGAATTCGTAGCAATCAGATCAGGGAAGGGTGGCGTTCAGATCCATACCAGCCACGAGATCGTACTCCTTCAGGATGTAGGTGGCGGAGCTGAAGACCGACGAAGCCGTCGCCGCAACGATCCAAACGGCGCCGGGACAGATCGAGGAAGCGGCGCCGATGCAGGTCGAGGAAGCGGCAGATCCTACGGG